CTGTCACCTTGCAGAGATGGGATTTCTGGATCTTTTTTTTTTTTTTTTGATCTAAATTACTCCAACTTTCCATTTTGTAGCGTAGAATAGTTTGATAGTTTTTGAGCAGGGTTAGATGTGAGCTGGTGTGCTTGGGGTGCAGCGAGTGGCAGATTGGTGGGTATAGGTAGAAGCAGGGACTTTCTAAATCTGCACATTTTAGAGGAAGCAACAGGGTAGAGTTACATGAGGCTGTTTTACAAGCAGCAGCATTTTAATGAGGAGGGGAAAATTGAAATATGTAACTTTCAAAGATGAGTTTTTAGTGGTTGAAGCAATGACTGGACGAGTAACAACAACATGTTGTGGGTTCACCGGTGTTTTTGTGCTGTAACATCCTGGAATACTGTTGCTCCTATGAGTTGCCATTGTTGGACAGATAATACAAGCTAGTTTTTACCCCGTTTCTTTTTGTTTTTATGCTAAGCTAACAGTTGTAAAGGTGAAACAACAAACAAAGAAAACTGTACCCAGATTGTAATCATTCACGCTCTTGATTCTTTCATTCGTACAACACAACACTAATTTAATATCACATTGTATTTATTTATTTTTTGCTTCCTTCCCCTCTCCGTGGCTGGCAGTACATTCAATCATCTGCAGGTTTGAAAGTTTGGCTGCGTGATGAAGAAGCGCTCGATGGCATCCTCGTTATCAAAGTTTTATTTCACCAAAGTTTGTTATCTTGTAAAATCCACTTCTCAAACATAGCAGATGTTGTGTGTTAAATTTAAGTGATCCATAGTGACAGGTACACACAGGAGAAAGCTGATGGCACGACGGTGAGAAGTTATGCTAAACTGAAGCACAAATCATTAATTAGATATCACAAATTGCTAAATCATGCGCACAGTTTCGTTTCTTTTTTTTAAAATTATTTCTCTGTAACACCTCCCAGGCTCCTTGCTAACCAGCTGCTCCGTGTTTATCGTACAGACACGAGAGACTTATCAATCATCTGCGCTGACTCCTGGCAAGACAGTAATGAGCACATTTACCCCCCAAAATATCAAACTGCTCCTTTTTACTTTAAAAACTTTAAAGCGGCAACGTAAAGTCGATACACGGAATGCTGCCTGAATGCAAATCACCGTGGAAGCTTATTAGCACATCTCTGTCCTCCTCAATTTGTTACCATAAATTAACTTGCATTCACTTTTTATTATCTGCCTGACAACCATTAACCTTCAACGTGAATTAAAAAGGCTGCTGTAAATGAAAACATGATGATTCAGCCACAGAGCTGCAGCTCACATTGCACACTTATTTGCCGTATTCTTGAAAACAAATGTTACTTTAGGCTTTACTGCTGAATGAACAATAATTTCTAGAACTCCCATTTTTTTTCTACTCAGCTCCTGTTGATTCTCAGAGCCGCGGTGCCAAATCCACTGAGCTAACTGGCTCCGATCTGTACTCGCTATTAAGAAACAAGTATGGACTAAACTGCATTTGGAGGATTTTTTTAATCACATTTGTGACAGTAGGATTCAAGCTGTTACAAGCTGCCGGGTTAGTGCTGAGGGATGAGTGCACCCTGGCGGTCCCTCGTAGACTGTTTCCCTCACTGTAGCTCCAAGGCTGCGAGTCTTCAACAGTCCTGTGCTGCCATCCTGTGTTTAGTCCAGCTGTGCAGTGTTTTTAAGACTGCATGGATGTAAGAAATGCCGCCACTCTCTGTTTGTACTGCTGCCACCTCCTGGCTGTGCTAATGCAGGGCCTCGGTGTGGGCTCATCTCTGCCAATATCACTCATCCAGACGCTGACAAACAGCGGGCGGACAGGCTTGATCCCACTAAAGGTTTACTGGTCCATCACCACCCACTAACAAGCAGGAGGTTGTCAGATTTTCCTGTCAAGCGTTTCGACTGCTAAGTCTGACCCTCGTCTGCGTCCCGCTCATCTCCAAGCTTCAGATATGTTAACATTTCAAACAGAAAGGTTAATAGACAGGCCTGGGTAAATCAGAGAAGGTCAAACATCTTTTTTTTTCTACCCCCCCTCTGGAATATCACAAAGAAACAAACAACTTAACAGAAGCACGTGCGTGAAAGGCTGGATCAGTATGTGATTTGAGGAGCATGGGAACATAACGAGCTCCAAAGGGCAACCACGTAGGTTTGTCTGGATTATTTGGGGCACCGTGTGTGGCATTCACACACAGTGAAAGCGCAACAAGGCAGCAGGTTATTATTCATTTTGTTTAAAAGCGTACATTAAGATGCACAACTGAGTGAAGCAGTTCACTGCTGCAGCCACTAGGTGGTGCTGCTGCAGCCTCCTTCCAGAGCAGTCAGTGGTCTCATATTGATGTTGATGTAATCCAGTAACACCCAGTCATCCAGTAATGTGATGTCACACATTAGCACAGCGCTTACCAGAATCTAATGCGCCTCAGCTCGCTTGACTCATTGTATTATTTCAAGGGTAGGGGTCAGGCTGAAAGGGCAACGTGTGTGCAAACTATATATACTGTAGGTCAGACGAAGGTCATCATCAGCAATGCATGGGAAAACTCAGCACAATGACTGAGCAGAATCACAAAGGATGTAAAGAGTTCTGACAAAGATGTACACCCTCATGTGAATTCATATTTATGTAAATTTGTGTGACAAAGAGAGAGATAAATGCAGCATAGCAAGGCAGGAGCAAAACAGATCTTTACATCTACAGTCAGCCTCAAATGTATTCATACGCTTCCATTAAAGAAAAGGCAAAATCCACAGCAGTCGCTTAAATAACTAGGAACTGAAAAAAGTAATAATAAATAAAAATTTGGTAAATTAGAATTTAGTGAAATAAGGCAGTGCTTTTGAATTGTGGTTGAAAAAAATAATAAAAAAAAAATACTGTCTCAGATAAATTAGAGCACTTTGCACTTTTATTTATTATTACTTTTGTCAAAAAGCTGTTTTTTCCCTTCTTTAATGGGAGAGTATGAATACATCTGAGGATGACTGTATACATTTAATAGATCAAATAGACACTTTAAGAGAAACAAATGAAAAAGCAAAAATGAATCCATAATGCTAAGAGGCATTAGGGTGAGTGAGGGGAGGAGGAGGAGGGTGGGGGTCATTTTGTATCAACTGTCCAATCACATCATACCACTGAGGTCATGTTGACTCATCATCCCTATGCCGAGATAGATCTCCTCACCAGCTGCCCTCAGCAGGCTGTAACTGTACCTCTGGGAAGATTAAAGAGGGAACACCAGCAAGGCTTCATGATGTCAGCAAAGGACTACGGGCTCAACACATCACCGCTTTATTAGTGCATGATGCTATCAAGAGCAACTTGATGAGTTCCAAAATAAAGGATGTGACAAAGCCACACGACAACTAACTGCTCGTTATAACCATTATCTAGTCATTCAAAGATTATTGTCTCAATTATCATATTCATCACACAGTTTATTCATTCACACAGTTTACAAGATTAAGAAGGTTTTGACAGAATAATGGCCCAAAATAAAAAATAAAAAAAAAACAGCAAATATTACAAATATGAATATTAGAAATAGCTATCCAGCTATGCAATATTTGGTGTTTTTACTGTATTGTGTGTAGGGGTGATATCAGAAGCAGCATTAGTATTGGACAACAAAGGCTTTAAATTAAAATATTGGTGCAGATCCAACATAAACACCAACAACCATGTGTACAAAATATGAGCATATATCAGTGTCTGTGTCAGCAATCAGCCAAAATGCACTAGAAAATATCAGCATATGAGCTCCAATATTAAGCATCCCTAATTATGTGATTTCTCGAGTGCATTGTCTTACATTGTGCATTTGCATAAGAGCCTTTCATGGATAGGCATCGCAAACTAGCCTCTGCTATAAATGCAGCTTCTTTTTTTTCCATGCTTGTCAGTACAAAGATAAACATTATAGAAATAAATTGTTTCATTTCCCTGCTGTGATATTTACTTAGCGTAAGATTAAACTATTACAAGTCATTTCATTCTATAAACACTGATAACTGATGCATATCCATCTTAGAGTAAATACAGATTATATAGACGTATAAAGATTATAGTGATAAAGAAGAGCAGTCACAGTACATGTAGATTATCTTTATGATTGGCTGCTTTATTCTGTCATTGTGTGTCAGCTGTTTTGTATGCATTTCATTGTCTCGTTTAGTTTTGTACTCGTTGGTATGCATTTTCTTCTTTTGCGTGTTGCATAAAAACCTTTTATAAACAGAGACTGCAAACTAGCTTCTGCTATTAATACGCTGGTATGTGTTTCATGCCTGTCTCCATAAAGATCGACATTATAGAAATAAACTGTGAAGTGCAAAACCATTCCCTTTAAATCTATAAATATCGAAAACTTGAACATATCCTCAGCATATCATAAACACAGATTATATAGATGTATAGAGATTAACCTGATAAAGAAGACTACTGAGCCGTTGTTTGTGAGGCTGTATTTCCTCGTTTTGTTTTGTTTTCTATGCGTTTTCTCCTCAAGTATATTTGTATGAAGGCCCTTCTAAGGATGACTGCAAACTAGCCTGGGCTATAAATGCAGCGGCATGTGGCATCAGTCCACGACATGCCCCGGTAAAATTAAACCACTTCTATTAATAATCACTTTTAAGACTAATTTCCATCATGCAACGATCATTACAAGAGCAGAGAAGTCACAGCAGAATTTCTCAGACGTCATTGTGGTTATCAGATAAAATCTTCTTTCCAGTATCTACTCAGCAAACCGCTGTATATAGAATCTATAACACACACACACACAATGTATATCCTCCATAATTCATCACAATCGATATCAGATGATCTACAGCTGTTTCCTATCAGTGGTTGCTTCCCTCTAGTCTTTACCCCTCTAGTCATCAGCATGAATATTGATGACATCAAGGAAGGCTGACCAAGCTCTCAGTCACTCTCTCTCCCTCTCTCTCCCTCCCTCCCCCCCTCCCTCCCTCTTATACCCACACCCTGGATGCAGGCAGGCGTGCGCACACCGGCAGACTCGCTCAGCTTCCGTATCGCTCTCCTTCCTCCATCTCTGTGTCTCTATCCCTCCCTACTCTCTCCGCCGCTGGATTTTTAGCCCCCCACGGCTGTGTGGAACATCGGTAAGAAAGACTCGTCTCTCCTTTGGTGTGTTCTTCGTCTCTCTGTGTCCGTGTGTCTCTTTCTGATTCTGTTTTACCCAAACAAAGGATTTGGGGTGTGGCTGGATGGGCAGAAGCTGGAATGCTGATGGCAGCAGGGAAATGATGAGAAAGGAGGGATGCTGAGGATGATGGTGGCGGTGATGAAGGAACAATAGAGCAAATGTTTTGGGGTGATGAGGGTTGCAGATGAATTGAAAAGGAACACATATGGACTGTTTGTATAAATGCTTGGCAGAGGTGGATGTAGACACCATTTCAAGGTGAGGGTATTTAGAGGAAAGATTGGCTCTGTTGGGGGGAGAAAAAAAAAAAAAAAAGTGGATATGTTAAAAATCTGGCCACGTGCCCAGCATGTGTATTTCTATGTCACGCTGATTCTATTAGGCCCCCCCATTCAAATTCACACTAGTGAGAATAATTTTAAAGCAGATTGGTTTGAAAATGACTGGCTGCGGGCTTGTGGGCTTGTCACATTTCCACAGCAATCTCTGACAAAGCAGCAGTTCAAACAGGCGTGACTGGGCGAGACTGTGCAAGACACATTAGTCAGACCTGAGGCTAGGTTAGGAAGATGACTGCAGTGGAGCCCGTGGAGCATACATCCACGAGGCTGCAGGGGTGGATGCAGAAAAAAGAGAGAGAGAGGGGGAGAGAGAGAGGGAGAGAGAGGATGCAGAGGGAGAGAACAAAGACTGGAAGACTCGGACAGAGAAAAGCAAAGACAAAGGAAAGAGAAATAGGCACATGTTAGCTACATGGACGCTTCATGGGAATCTCAAGGCAGAGCATGTGTGAGAGGCAGCCATGTGGAGGCAGTCTGAGCTGCACACGTTGTAGCCACTCCCTTTATGTGCGGTCGCTCACAAAGACTACGTGAAATACCAGACAGAGCTCATGATGACATTTCAAATCACTACATTCATTAGAATTTTCAGATCCCCGTCTGTCACGCCGTTAACGGTATGATCCTCGATAAGAAAGGTCAAGCGATGTGTGCCTCAGCTATCTTTCTCATCTCTCCCAGCCAAAATGTCTGACAAGCCCGACATGACCGAGATCGCCCGTTTTGACAAGACAAAGCTGAAGAAGACGGAGACAAAAGAGAAAAACCCTCTGCCCACCAAAGAGAGTGAGTTTCCCTCCAGCGTACGTGTGTGTGTTTCAAAGTGGTGTTGAAGCCTCGATGCCCTGCAACATTTCTTTTTTTTTTTTTTTCCCTGTGTGTAAGCTACTCATCATCCCCTCCAGTGCTGTCAAAAGAGCACATGCTCAGCAAGCAACAAAAACAAATAGCTGCAGCATCAGCACATCATTGATATGCAGCAAACTCAAAAAAAAAAAAAAACCTGCATCCCTTCACACAAGCCTGCCAACAGCATCTTTTTTCTCTCTCTCTCTCTTCTTTTCCAGCCATTGAGCAAGAGAGGAAAGGCGATGCCACACCATGACTTGAGCACAAGAAGAAACGAAGCTGAGATGCCACAGCAAAAAGCACTTTCTTTTGATTATCACAGTATTTGAATCTCGTACATTGTCTTCAGAAAAAGGGTGCTCTTGAGCTCCCTGGGGTGCTATAAGGGTATATGGCATCCTCACATGGGGGCTCTCTTACCACTCTGAAAATCGTCAGCCTGGGTGCCTGTCTTGCACTGTTAGCCCATAGCTAACATGTCTCCAATATTGCCAAACTGGGGAGTGGTGTAGTGATGTAGCACAGAGAGAGAGGCAGGCATCCAGGCTAGGGGGAGGTGGGGGTTGTCTACAGACATAGGAGCAATCAAAAAGTCTAATCATGTGGGATGTTTTCTTAATAAACTTTTTACTTTTCTTTATGAAATAAATATGAAGACATGAAACCAGTCAGGCCTGTGAATTTTGCTGTCTCATTTATGTAGATCTGCAATGGGAAATCCATGCGAATGCTGTACTATATACAGTTGATAAACCAACACACAACAGGAATGACAGAAGACCAAAACCCAAACTCTACACTTAATGGCATTTGAATAAATCCACATCATCTTAAGGGTTCTTTAGATTTTGGATAGAATGCACAAAATCATCCATAATATACAGTTTATGTAAAACGTGTAAGTGGCTTGTTAGTGGTGCAATAGAAAAATGAACCACAAACTTGTTAGATAAACCAAAATTATTGTAAATTCATTGTTACAAATGTTCTCGTTTTACTTAGCTCAAGCAGACTAAAAAGCTAGCCAGGTAGCATCAGATTGCCTGGCTTGACTTTATGCTTGACATTTGTAGACAACTAAATCATTAGAATAGAATAGAATAGAATAGAATAGAATAGAATAGAATTATTTTATTAATCCCTAAGGGGAAATTTGGTTGTTACAGCACAAAAATAAAGTTACCACCACCATAAATACAATAAATAAGCAATTTGCAATTTGAGCTATTGTTGGACAAAAGAAGCAGTTTGGAACTGTCCCATTGGCCTCTGTGGGAATGTGATTGCTATTTCTCACAAATTTTTGAGGCATTTTTATTGGGGATGTCCGATATTGGCTTTTTTGCCAATATCCCATATGCCGATATTGTTAAACTCTCAATTTCCAATTCCGATATCAACCAATACCGATACCGACATATGTTTGTTACTGCAGCCACACTCGTTTAGGACGCAGTTTGATGTCGTCATCATTGATAAATGCGGGCGAAATCCAGGCAATGTTTTATCGGTTTTCAGTCCAGACAACAAAAAACAGATAACGATATTGACAGATATTACATTTTTATGCCAATATCGGAGCATCCTTAATTTTTTATCAGTTTTATGAATGAATCATTGAAATGATAATGTAGAAAACAAGCGACAGATTTAGGTGAATTGTGACTGGAAGGCCTCCCAGAGGATGAAGAGAGCTCAGGGTGTTTATTTTATTACCCTGGCTACCAGCAGTTAGCTTCTACTAGCAGGCACTTGCTAAGCCTGTTTAAATGATGAGAGCAAATGTGGGTGCTATAAGACAAGGATGGTGACAGTTCTGGATTATCATGGAAAAAAATAATAATAAAAGAAGAGCATCAGAAGAAATCACTACTGTTTAATTAAACAAGCAGTAAAATAATACAAATTATGCCAATATTTATGGAAAGACCTGTCAGGCAAAAACATTGCTTTTTCTATACACTGCTAAATTTTTACATTTTGGCACATTTTGCTCCAATGACAAGTCTTCTTCTAGACTAATAGAAAGAAAACATATATTCTGTTAAACATTAATGCAAGATATGGTACAGGCCTACTTCATGTGATTGCACCTAATTTGCTTCCTTAAACATATTTATTTTAAAAACATCTAATACACAAAATAACTGCCTTAACACAAATAATCAAATGAAAAAGATCCATGATAGCTAGTTTTTTGTACCCATTAATAATGGTGTCCAATAAATGTTCATGGAATTTAATTTCTTTAAAGACAGTTTGCCCAAAAAATAAAATAAAATAAAATAAAATAAAAACAGCCAGAAATGTCCACTTTAGTAACACTTTTACATCAACTGCAAACAATGGCATTTCTGATTTATGGAGTGATAAAGAGACATCTAACATCTCCTCTGTAAAAACCTTTGACAATTATATATGAACTAAATGTATCAAAAAAATGAAACTTGTTTAATGCAATGGTCAGATTTCTGATGTCTTAAAATGCAAATCGGGATGTTTACATATATAATACCCAATTTGCATATCGACACATAACATTTGAAAATACTTGTGATACAAAAATAAATAAATAAATAAAAATCACTCTTATTGTGAGAGAGTAACTGAGAAAGTTTCATGTTGATATCTTTCAGTTTTAAAATGTACCTTCTTCACTCTTTCTCATTTGTCTGCGTTAGGCTACAGATGAGATAACTTCATCATTTCTTTATGGCACAACAGCAGCCACCTACAGCATATAGTTTACAGCATAACACTGATTTATGGCCCTGACTGGTGAGGCTGACTGGCGTCACCAGTCCTACCACTCAGCCTCGGTCTGTAAAATCTGTCACCTCCTGCGCCTTTACTGCTCCATTCCTCTCACCTTGTGCAGCGAGTCATCCATCAGTGCTCATCAGACAGCCTAATGCGTGTCAACTGTCTTGTAGAACAATTTCATTAAGGTGCATTTTCAGTCCATTAAGAATAGCGCAACTCAAAGGTCCTGAATCGGACATGTCCTCTATATGCGCATTTTATCATCCAAACGTGCACAATGAGGAAAAACAGAACTACAACGACTTTTGCTTTCCGCTACAGTGTAGATCTTAATTAGGATAACATCGCTTCATCTATTTATACTTTTAACAAGTGAGCCAACATTTTTCTTTTTCCCCTTTGAAAAAAAATAAAAAAAATAAATAATGCACACATTCTTCCAAGATGCCACCCACGTGATTTGTCCTTGACAGTTTCGATGTTTATGACACACCCAGCACCCACGTAGACTCACGCCCACTCGGATAGACTGTTCTTTGCCGTTATTAACCCATTAAAACCGCTGAAGGATCCTTCTGTTACAGGCCCAGATTGATTTGAATCGTACTTCATCATGTCGAGGGGGCTCCAAGTTTCACTCATAATGCAGAATGAATGTGGCTGATATCTAATTAGTGGGGATTATCCTCACCTACACCTCCTCAGCGCTGAGCGCAGGGCCTCGCCCAGCCGGCCGCCTTTGTCCTGCGCGCTGAGTGAATTGTTGTTTTAGGGGATTCTGAGTGGCTTAAAGGGGATTTGACAAATGTACGCGATTTAATTTTGGAAAAAGTGCAATCTTAATCACGGGCTTCTCTCGCTTCGAATCACAGCAAAAGCATGTAGTGACAGAAACTGACATGATGAGTGCTGATGATGGCTCCATGAAGACAGATGAGCAGCAGAATTAAACGTGATCAGACTGAGTGGATCATCCGGGATTTCATTTAAAAAATGTATCAAAATCAGCTCTATTTTCATAGACATGTCTAAATAAAACACATCATAGAGCAAAATGACTAAACATACAATACTGCAATTTAACAGTTAAACCATTGAAGCTCCAATGTGTTTATACTCTTGTAAATTCCAGACTGTTTTCACACCAAGTTGTTTCCCAGGGAAACATCTATTATCCTATTATCATGGCGATGCCAATTTCGCCGATGTGTGAGGCAGTATTTACATGACTATATACCGTCACTCCTGAAAGGCTTTAAGGCTTTGTTGTCACTGCGTGTCCCCCTGGGACACTGGTGCCATTTCCCAAACATTTCAACTACACAAGAATCCTCGCTATGGCATTCACTACTGTATTTCCGTGATGTATTACTGCATTTATTAATTATGAACCCTACTCCATGTCCTTTGGAGAGGCCAAGTTGTGCTGTGTTGGTAATGGCATGTTCATGGACTCTGTGCAGCAGCCAGCCCCTCTTGAGATGCAGCAAACAATAAGTCACTGCAATACACTCAGATTAAAATAACAGAGGTTACTTTATGTGTGAAGCAGCAGATGCTCGACTATTTGTCTCCTAGCATCATCTTTATATTCTCAATTTTAATTGTAGTTTAATAAACTCTAAAATAAATACTATAGGATGCATATAGAGTTTATTTATCTGGAATCTTCACATGGACACATATACACATGCGTATGCTTCAATTCGTGGGAAAAGCATATAGGGACTAAAGCCTGGGAACGACAGGTGAATGAATGAATGAGGGGCTGTTTAACGGTCTGCGTCACTTCTTTGAAGTGCACTTATGCACCGACGGCTCCTATTTGTCTATAGGATGCGGCAATCAATGTCGTCGTTGACGAAATTTCACAGTGATTCGTTACCTGCAGCACAAATCTGTCAATCAAAGGGGGCAACGCCATATAAATATCATCAGTCCGCAGCGGGGCAACATCTTCACTTCCCTGCATCCCTCTTAGCGCGCACATCTGGAATAAGACCGACAGGCCTCCGACTGGACTACAGCTGCTATGGGACCACTGGATCTCCTCACAGCCACGGTTCTCTCCATGTGCTGTCATGTTCAGCTGATATCTGCTTGGTATATCGTTCACATTTGGAGACACTTATTTTAAAATAGTGGTGTAACTCGTGTTTCCTATTGCTATATTCCTATTGTGACCTGGGATTAAAGCGCTTGTTTTGCTTTCTTTCTACAGGACAGTGAACAATTTTCTCATGACTGGACCAAAGGTAATCACATCTTTGTGTTTATACAGAGAGTATATGGGTATGTGTTGTGCGTAAAACCTCTTCTGAGGCACCTAACTCAGATATTTTAGGCTACTGGGTTTTGCAATAGCAATGACAATAATATTAGATATTTTCCTTTTATTAACTAAATGCTGCAACAAATAACAACGCCCTTTGCTTTTCCTCCCAAGGCTTATCTGACTTACACCAGCAGTGTGCGTATCGGCGCACAGTGTGGAATACAAGAGTGTAAACACCAGTTCGCTTGGGAGAAGTGGAACTGTCCAGAAAGCACGCTTCAGCTATCTACACACAACGGCCTCCGAAGTGGTAAGATGATCCACATATATGTATGATATACATGGCAGGCCATGGTGAGGTGGTGTGGCGATGCGCTCACCTGTTACTTCTTGCGCAAAGTGTCTTTTACGCACAGTATATAAGGGCAAACATTACGCATTTTTGGACAGCCAAGTAAAACATTGTGGATTTATTTCTTTGTAACTTATTGCAGCCACAAGGGAGACGTCCTTTGTCCACGCCATCAGCGCTGCCGGAGTGATGTACACGCTCACCAAGAACTGTAGTATGGGGGATTTTGACAACTGCGGCTGCGATGACTCCAGAATTGGACAGACAGGTACGCGTCCTTTCTGAGCGTTCCTTCAGATTAAATTATGTGAAACTGACCTACAGTAATACAACACCATGTACTTGTTTTGTTTTTGTAATTCTCAGGGGGGAAAGGATGGATTTGGGGAGGCTGCAGTGATAATGTGGCGTTTGGAGAGAAGATCTCCAAACATTTTGTGGACTCTCTGGAAGACGGGCATGACTCCCGCGCAGCAGTCAACCTGCATAACAACGAGGCGGGCAGACTGGTAATATCTGATTTTAACTCAAGCTTGGCATCACTCCTGTTTTGAAATACAGCCATTTATTAATAACACAGGCCAGTGAAAGGGAAGTGGTATTTACGCATGCGCTTAATATACACATTCAGGGATAAGGACGTGCAGGATTGGCAGAGTTACATTTTAAATCTATATCAATCTGTTTGCAGGCAATCAAATCTACCATGAGAAGAGCCTGTAAGTGTCACGGAGTGTCTGGGAGCTGCACCATTCAAACCTGCTGGATGCAGCTGGCCGACTTCAGAGACGTGGGGAACTACCTGAAGACGAAGCACGAACACGCAAAGAAGCTGGAGATGGACAAGAAGCCGGTGAGGGCAGGGAACAGCGCGGACAACCGAGGAGCCATCGCGCACACTTTCCGCAGCATCGCCAGAACGGAGCTCGTTTACCTGGAGGATTCTCCGGATTACTGCGGCAAGAACCAGAGCCTGGGACTGCAGGGCACGGAGGGGCGGGAGTGCCTGAAGGGCGACAAGAGCATGTCCCAGTGGGAGAGAAAGAGCTGCCGCAGGTTGTGCTTTGAGTGCGGCCTCAGAGTGGTGGAGAAGAGCATCGAGGTTGTCAGCAGCTGCAATTGCAAATTCCACTGGTGCTGCACAGTCAAGTGTGAAAAGTGCACGCACGTTGTTACTAAATATTACTGTGCACGCAAAGAAGGTGGGAGAAAGTCACATAACAAAGCAAAACGCAGGCACCGTGCGCGCCAACAGTGATTTCCACTTGCTGCATGGACTACGGACTCAGTAATCTCATCAGTTTTCACTCATTTTAACATTCGGACTTTAATTAGAATTATTCTGCAATACAAGAATGTCTGCCATAATGTACAACTATCACAAAACCTAAAGCCTTTCGATGCACTTTATCTAACTGAAAGGCCGTACATAAATGAAATTGAGCCTTTTTAGGAACAAACTCTCCAAGCACTCCTTCGTGTTGGAGTTTAGGGGACATTTGGTCGGACTGTTTGGGTTTGTTGATTGTAATGTAATTTTTTTCCCCCCGATATTTTATTTTTAATTAAAAATGTAACAAGAATAAATATTTTTTATAAATATGCATGACTGATTTCTAAATGGCAAAATTCCCAGTCTGTTATTTGTATATTGGTACCCCAGTAGCACACAGCCTTGGGGAAGAAAATAAACTGCTGCTTAATGCCATCCTTTGAAGTGCGCATATAGGCGTTTCTTGAACCAGTCGCCCAATCAGCTTTCTTGGGCCTCGGGAACAAAGAACAAGAGTTCCATTTGTTCCTCATTCAAATAAAGGAGAAAGTTTCAGCACACCGGGTCAAAATACCTAGACCTCCATAGGCTAACAGTGTAGATGAAAAATGGACCATTCAGCACTTTGGCTCCTGTTTCTTCTATGCGTAATGTGCCCAGGACATGCTTGGTAAGACACATATACGCACTATTTGCGTCTTTTACGCACGAGTAGACAGGAGATAAAATGATCTCATTCTTTATTATTATTCTTCTTCTCAGGGTGGCAAGCAACTTTCTTATGACGGGACCAAAGGTAAACATTGATTACACTGATTTGATTACTATGAAAGGTTTTAAAACGTAATTCAAACCTAAACGACTATGGTTGCCTCTTCTGCAGGCTTATCTCACCTATGCAGGGAGTGTGCAGGTAGGCACACAGAGTGGGATTGAAGAGTGCAAACACCAGTTTGCGTGGGATAGATGGAACTGTCCGGACAGCGCAACACAGCAGAAGGGACTGAGACGAGGTAGGTTGTGGTTTTAGATACGATTTCGTTCTTCGGTTATGTGCAAAGTTCTATAGGATCAGAGAAACAAAGTTTCAAGAACATCTATCATCCGCATGGAAAACTAAAAACCTTCTACAAGAGTTGACAAGTATGTGAATGCACAGGGCTGCATCAGCACATATTCAAATTAAATTCGTTTTTATACTGTCTAGCAACACCTGGATTGGTGACTCTAAAGGTTTAATTGCTTTGGGGACAATTCAAACTCTCATAAAACAGTTGTTTTGTAAAATGATCAATAAATGCATGGACATACTAATGGATGTTTGACATGTATTTGCCCTATGATGCTGTGCTATAACATATATAAATGATGTGTTTCTCCTCATTTAGCCACTAGAGAGACGTCTTTCGTCCATGCCATCAGTGCAGCAGGGGTCATGTACACTCTGACCAGGAACTGTAGTCTGGGAGACCTGGACGACTGTGGCTGTGATGTTTCACAGAACGGAAAAATTGGTGAAGTTCACAGAAAGAGAGAGAGAGAGAAAAAATAAAACATATTACACATGATGTCATTCTATCTCTAACAAGTTACAAGTTTGTGTTTTTCCAAGGAGCATATAACTTATATCTGACATATAAGTCTTTAAATTTGTAATATATATTCTTACTTTCAGAGGATTTAAGTATGTGACTAATATGTTGTGTGCAGGCGGTCGTGGGTGGTTATGGGGCGGCTGCAGTGATAACGTAGATTTCGGGGAGAGGATCTCCAAACAGTACGTGGACTCACAGGAGACAGGTCAGGACTCCAGGGCTGCTGTCAACCTGCACAACAACGCGGCTGGACGACAGGTAAACTATTTTCAAACCACGCGTATTTATCAGATATCGTTCACTTTCTTAAGTCATAAGCAGTAATCAACTGTCCCATGTTTTCCAAAAGGCCGTGAAGGCAACAATGAAGCGCATCTGCAGATGCCACGGGATGTCCGAGAGCTGCAGCGTCCAAACCTGCTGGACGGCACTGTCCGACTTTAGAGAAATCGGCAACTACTTAAAGATGAAGCACAGCCAAGCGCAGAAACTGGATGTCGACAAGAAGCGCATGAGGGCTGGCAACAGCGCGGACAGCCGCGGTGCCATCGTGGACGCGTTTGGCAGCATTGCGCAGACGGAGCTCATCTACTTGGAAGACTCTCCGGACTACTGCAGGAAGAACACCAGCTTGGGTCTGTACGGCACCGAGGGCCGCGAGTGTCTGCAGCACGGAGAGGGGCTGACCCAGTGGGAGAGGAGGAGCTGCCGCAGGTTGTGTCATGAGTGCGGCCTGCGGGTGGAGGAGAGGCGCACGGAGGTGGTGAGCAGCTGCAACTGCAAATTCCACTGGTGCTGCAAGGTGAACTGTGAGGACTGTTCTCAGGTTCTAGTGAAACATGTGTGCGCCAGGAGGGAAGGTGGAGACGGGCATGGCTTTAGACGGAGACACCGTGGACCCAAATGAGTTCAAATCAATCTGTTCACATGTTTGCACTTTTCATGTCTCCTTGTATAAATGCTAATGTTTCTATTTATGAATATTCTGCTTTGTTTAAATAAAATAAAAATATAAAAATAAAAGCTTTTGAATGCCATATTTTATTTTAGAGGAAACTTAATTATTCTACTTCTCAAATCCCAGGGCCACTTGGTTTTCTGACAAAGCACACAAGTTAGAATAAGAATGAAGTGAATACACTTAACAGAGGATTACATGGATAACACGGTGCAGCTCACACCTTACCAAGGTGTTGATCCAGGCTTGATCCACTACCACTTTGATGTGAATGTGTATTGATTTAATTCAAAGAGCAGAGAGGCTTTGAAAGACAAATTAGGGAAGTATTTCCACCACTAGAAGTAAGGTATTTGGCTTGATAATCCAGGTCACAGCTACCAGTCTTTGTCACATCCCACAGGGGACTTCAACGTATCACAATACATCAAAGCATAAGGGGGGCAAAGGCAGAGATGTTGGCAAAACCACAGCGTTCTTCCCAACAAACTGGCCACACTGGGGTCCAATCACTACATTGTAAATGTGAGAAGGCGGTTATAAATAAGCGTGACTCACATTCCACCTTGAAAGCAAGTTAATTTCTTAACTTATAATTTGCAAGTAATTAGGTCTAAGAGGAGCCTCGTCTCCGCCCACTGGCCTATCTGTGTCTAAAGGAGCCATTCATTTGCTTCCTTCTTCCCTCTTACCCCCTGTATCTCCAAAAATCTTCCTCTCAGCTGGATGTGTCATAAATCTGCCACTGCCTCAGCTAAATGAGTGATGGCATGGATATTACCTTCTTCAGGGGGTCCACGCCTGCGGGGCGGCGGAGGGGGTGGGAGTCTAACAGAAAGGGGGCTGGTTACAGGGCTGTTTGACTATCTTTACAGAGCAGTTAGTGTTGAAGCAGTAAATAAAGAGAAGTGAGAAATTACAGCATGACTTATTACATTGCGAGAACTGTGGCAAGAGAGCCAATGGCGTCTACTTCTCCCATTTCCATCCATGTCTGTCGATAAAAACGTGCCACATCATCTCAGTGACAACCAAAAACATCAAACGTTGGACAAGCTAGCCAAACAGTTACACAATTCCACAAAATAAACTGTTGCTGTGACCTTTCAGAACAAAATCTGGTTCTGCCAAAGGACGGAAAAAAAAAACCTGAATTAATTTCCTAACTGCAAAAGTAACACTCTCACAGAAGCAAAAAAAACAGCCCATCACTTCCCTCCCTTCCTTCCCATTTGTCTGTTTACCTCTGGGGATGTCCTGTATTTCCCATGCTGTCCTGCTGTGCGTTAATGAAGGTTTCGCCCCACTGGAGGCCCTCACCGATCCGCCCCTTATCTCTGCTCTCCGCTGAGGACATTACAGGTTCCATATTGGTTCCATATGATGCTGTTGCTTGGATGCGCTCGACAAGCGTGGCGCCCCGACGCAGACCCTGCGTCTGGTTACTGTCCTTCTTTTTTAATGCAAAGTTGGATTACACCGGAGAGGACTTTTAAGTGCTAAACTGCATTTGTTTAAGTTTGTTGAAGCCTCCAACAAACTCCAGCAAGTCCATTTGTTTCCATTTTAGCATTTAGACACACGAGGCGACCGAGAATCTTTACATACATTAAATGCTTTGTCAAATTAGCATCTCAAATCATGTTGGACTGAATAAAAATATATCCTCTGAACATTCTATCTTACACTGATTTGGTCAAATTTGGCACACTGATTGCTTGATAATTATACAGTATTTTATGCTGCATCCTCAGTGGCAGTTTCATGTCTTTCATGTTTCCTAATCAGGACAGAGAAGGACAACAGGGGAAGGAGGTGGTGATGTCCCACAAGGACCCCCCAGGGGAACTCATGTATTCACCCAGACAGGCTTGGGGGTCTAGAGGTATCTGAGAATGATTGATCACCCCTTCTCCCAGCTGCCCTCCTCTATCACCTGGGTGTGAGATACCAAGAGACCTGACACAGGACGGGCTGCAGCTGGAACACAAGCTCCAATACAGCCTACAATAATGCCATGTTATGAGTGAGAACAAAAAGTATATCTGCGTTTAAACAACACTATGTAGATCGATTCCTATTTAGATTTTACGCTGAAGCCAGATGTTTACATACACTGTATAAAAGGACATAAAACCTTTTTTTTTTTCCGTCACTGTGACATTCAATCAGACTAAACTCTTCCTGTTTCAGGTCAGTTAGGGTTACCTAAATTATATCTATTTGCTAAATGCCAGAATAATGAGATAAGTTTTTGCAGAATGTTTTATTACTTTCTTCAAAGTCAGAAGTTTACATACACTAAGATTACTATGCATTCAAACTTTTTGGGAAAGCCCAGATGATGATGTCATGGCTTTGGAAGCTTTTGATAGGTTAATTGACAACATTTGAGTTAATTGGAGGCACACCTGTGGATGTATTTTAAGGCACACCTCAAACACACTGCTTCCTTTTGTGACAACATGGAAAATCTAAAGAATCAGCCAAGATACCAGGAAGAGAATTGTGGACCTCCACAAGTCTGGATCATCCTTGGGTACAATTTCCAGATGTCTGATGGTCCCCATTCATCTGTTCAAAAAATTAAATGCAAGTATAAACACCACGGGAATGTCCAGCCATCATACCACTCAGGAAGGAGACGGGTTCTGCGTCCCAGAGACCAGAGATGAAGTTTTTTGGTGCGAAATGTGCGAATCAACCCCAGAACAAAAGCACAAGACCTTGTGAAGATGCTGCTGAAGCCAGTAAGAGAGTCATTATCCACAGTGAAACCAGTCCTGTACCAACATGGACTGAAAGGCTACTCAGAGAGGAAGAAGACATTACTCCAAAAGACACATACAAAAGCCAGGTTACAGTTTGCAAAAGCACACAGCACAAAATAGATGGCATCATGAGGAAAGAATATTATGTGGAAATATCGAAGCAACATCTCAAGACATCAGCCAGGAAGTTAAAGCTTGGGCACAAATGAGTTTTAAAAATAGACAATGACCCTAAGCATACTGCCAAATTAGTTACAAAGTGGCTCAAGGACACAAAGTCAGTCTTCTGGAGTGGTCATCACAAAGCTCTGATCTCATTGGACAAAATTCCAGCAAACTATTGAGAGAAGTTTGTGGAAGGAAACCCAAAACGTTTGACCCAAGTCCTAAAAGCAATGCTACCAAATACTAAGGACATGTATGTAAACTTCTGAAAGTAATAAAAAAAATCCTCTCATTATTCTGGCGTTTAGCAAACAGAAAAAGTTTAGTCTGATTTAATGTCATTTTATACAGTGTATGTATACTTCTGGTTTCAACTGTATGTCAACGTTAAAACAGTGTGGTTTGAGCAGCGCAGTTTAGTTAAATATAGCCACATTCAAAACTGACACCCAAACAAAAACAGACTCAACGCAACACACACTATATCTGTAGCAGCACAACTCAGTGTGACAGGAAATCAGCAGCATCCGTGGTTAGAGCTAGACAGTTCTGCAGTGCGTACATGCTGTAATAATAGCTCATCATGAAACCACTGAGACCTTCTACTTCTTTTACACAACAGGTCAGAAGGTGACATTTGCACAATTGATCATTTTAAAAGATAGCTCGAGTATGGTGAGGACCGCTAAATAAACCCTTCATTTCTTTACAGTGGATGTGATATTCACAAGACGCAAGGATGAATTTTACGCAGGTTCCTGCACAGGTAGAGGTGATGGGATGGAGCCCCCACAGTCTTGCTGACTATCTGAAGAAGGTGAGTATTAAAACAAAAAAAGTAGGCAGAGGTTGAAATACTACATTCTAAGATCTTCTGTAATAGCCAAGTAATGTAGCTTGCTGGTAATAAAGTGGCGACTGACAAGATTTTTGCTTGAACTTACTATTATGAAGTAAACATTGATTAAACAATGTAATGGCCAAAATGAATGATGCCGTAGCTATTTAGAATGGTTCTGTAGAAATCAGGCTTTGATTTTGCAGTTCTGTTGCCACTGGGTCTGACAGAAAACATAAGACTTGATTTACAGTTAAAAAAACAACCGTAGTAACGATGTAAACTCAGCATGCTAGTAAGCTATCAGAGTGTCTATTTCAAAGTAGGGCTCTTGCAGTTGTTTCTTGCTTTGGACAGTCAGCAGGCTGTTAGCGGCAGCCATGTTCTTATTTTCAAAGCAGTGGTGCTCGTTTTGTGTCCTGTGTTGTTTGTCGTTTTTAAGGCTCTGAGGATAGCAAAATTGCAATCCAGTCTTTGTGGCAGCAGCGCCAACAGCAATAGCACTTGGACATGCTGGCTGGTTAGGATGGGGAGTTGAAAAGTTCCCTGTTGCTATTATCTGACATGTAGCACGTTAAAGCATCTTAAAGGAGCTATGAAAACAACATAATGTCCTCAGCTTACAATATTACCATCAAAACTAGAAGCAACATTTTAGTGCAAGATGTATTTTGTTTTTGCATTTTTATCTATTTGCCAAAATTATTGTTGGTCACAATTTCATGCATAATACCATATTTCATAACATTACATCTAAGAAGTGGCACTGCTTTGTTATGTTCAGACCACTTTATAACTCCAAACACATTGTAAAAGTTAATTTTCCTGACATCTGTTTTCATATATTATTTCAGCTTAAGTTATCAGGCTGTGACAAACTAGTGATGAAGTACGGCATAACTGGAGCACAGTTCATGGTAAGTGTGTGTAACCCTCTTTCAGCTTTCACTGTTTTAAAATGCTCTGATTTTCAAATTTTTATAAGATTTTATTCTCTATCATCTAGCAAATGACGGAGTACGAACTTCAAGTGTTTCCCAGCCACCATGTCCCGTGAGTCTAACTGAAGATATATTTATTTAACTGAAAGTGTTGACAAATGAGTGGTGATTTTGACTACAACTGAGAGTACCAGTAACGAGAACCACTGAAATACTGAATATATCTGTGATATTTTCCTGATGATTTAGTGTTCTGTCTTTACAGAATAATTATTAAGATCCAAAATGAAATCAACAACGGGAAGCAGAAGAAGTAAGAAAACTAATTTTACTTTATAAATTAAGCTCAATCTGTGATGAAACAAACAATAATGCAAAACTTTCTTATCTGTTTTTTGTGCAGATCAAAGGCACGGAAGTCTCCAAAACAAGGTAGAGGACACTTCAGGCTAACTCTTTCCCTAATGTTATTAAGCAATCTGACCTGAGGCCTGATAGTGTTCCTTTTACAATTTACTTTCCAGCAGTATTTGTACAGGAGGAAGAAGTTTGGGACTCTGATGAGTTTGTAAGTTTTGTAAATTTTGTCACTATTTTATCTCAAACAGGGTCAAAGAATTTTATTCTACGTTGTAATGTCACTTAATATGTAACACATAACAAAGGAACAAAATCTGCCTTTGTGACCTGCATTGTACTCATGCACAACATCTGTTTGGGCTGTGATCAGGACAATGACAGTGATAATGAGTATGAGGGTCCAGACCAGGAGGCTGGACAAGACAACTACATCTGTGCTGTGTCTGAGCTCCAAATAGCTGAGCAACAACACGGCCATGAGACACATGAAGTCAACCGCAGGCTGCCTGCTGCTGCAGAAACAACAAAGCCACCTCGACCCCCAAGAGGGCCTAATCTTCCTGACAGTCGCAGAGGTAATGGCGAGCAGCTCTGACAAAGGCGCAGTGCATGACGAAATGCAGTTACAAGTGAAAACATGTATGTGCTTTAAAATCAGAATTGGTGCTCATCTTTCCTGCGCGCATAACTAAAGAAATGTGTTTAGATCCTGTTTTTGAACAACCGCCTGCTGAAAGAACATCAAAACGTCCACACCCTCAGCCCCTAAAAATGAACCATACCCCTCAAAGACCTCCCAAAGCACCAGGTGATTGTACACTTACTCCACAAGCACTTGATTTATCAGTTACAATGCAGATTTTTTTTTTTATTTAACTCTTGTGTAAACTTATTTTTCCCCCCATTCTTATCGCCAGCCAGTCAATCCAGTCGACCTATAGACAGGAGCAAAAAGCCAGGAAAACCTCTCCCATCCCCGAGAGGTATTGCAAATTCAGTATGTGGTGTATATTATGTGATGGTTTGACATGATATAGCTCAACAGAAAAATGCTTTCATTTTGGCACAATGTTAACAATTTATATTTCATACCAAATAATGTCCACAAGAGGGCAGTGCTGTCAAGATTCCTGGCTCATCTAGTGGCAAGCACCATCAACCAAGGCCCCCTAAGCCTCTGGATAAGTCCAACAGGTAGGAAAACCTAAACAGTTTGAGTCAAGCCATCTCTTGACCCTTGGCAATGCGATTAATTGATCTTTTTCACCTATTCTGCATTTAGTCTCTCCCCTCCCAGGGCACGAGAACTCATTCCAGTTCCTCCAGAGCCTACACATGCCGGACAGAGGAGAACTTCAATACCAGAGACTCCAAAGAAGGTTAAAATACAATTCGAAGTTGCAATGAAGACACAGGTTCCACACATAGTAATTAGAGGACAAACACAACAGTGCAGTTAGGTGGAAGGCCATGTGTTTAATGAAACACCATTAACACTTTCAGAGGGGAAACAGCAGATGGCGATGTTGTAAAAAGAACCCAACAACAGGAACTCACATATGTTATGAAAAGTAAAACTGCTTTTTAATAACTAGGCTCACTAATCAGGATTTTCAGGCTATTTAGGAAACACCTCTGACACTGCAACAGAAAACAAGCAGCAATCATTGAATTATTCCCTTACTTTGGCCATTCTATCATAGTCCATCCAGGATTTGGATCGCAGCTGGTATGGCGGGAAGGTGACCAGACATCAAGCTGAAGTTGTTCTGAGAGATGTCAACAAGGTTTGATGCTGCTTTCTCACGTTTCCATAAATCTCAGCCTTCCCCTTCTGGAGAAGACATACACACAAACACACACATTAACGTGCAACCAAAACGTTGCAGAATTCCAATAATGCCAGTGGGTGAATGGGTTTGTGTGTGTGTGGTTTTGTGCATTTATGTGTCTTCAAGGATGGGGCATTTGTGGTGAGGGACAGCACCAAAGGCTTCGTTGAGCACCCCTACACCCTGATGCTGCTGAACCAAGGCAAGGTTTACAACATTAAGATCCGTAACCAAGGCAACTCATACTGCCTCGGCAACGGCGTCAACAACACAAAGGTAAACCAAAAATGATGATACCATTATCTGCAACGTTATAACGAAAGGATGAAGTCAGTGTGCTCGCTCAGAGTAAACTGAAAAGTTCACATCTTGCGGCACGCCTCGGGGAATGTTTGATGCTGACTTGTGCTGCTCTGCGTCATTAGGTCCCTGTCATCTTTTGTGTGTGCTGTTGTGCTGTAGAGTTTCCCCGGGGTGAAGGAGATGATTACCCATCACACACACAGCCCGCTGCTGCTCGTTGTTGCCCCAGATCAGAGTTCTGAAGAGCAAGTCCAATGCTGCCTGCTGCACCCCGCAGGACTCTGACCAGCAGCAACGCCAAGCTAAATGTGGGTGTTTATGCCATCTACGTGTCCATATATGCTAATTTGTGTGTGCGTGTACGTGTGGCTTGTTCAGAAAATTTTAGGAACATCTAAACAAATGCCACGATCTCAAAAGGTCAGTGTTATGTAATTCTATTTTTTTGTGACATTCACTTATATTTTTAGTAAGCCGAATGAGAGGAAAAGAATATTTTTTACATGGCTGATGGTCTGCATGTTTTGCTAAACTGTGCATTCATGATACACAGCATTACCTTTGTTCTTCACAGCTCAGTTTCAGGTCGAGCTGGGGGGCTGCTGCTTCACTGCCTCTTCGATTTTGAGAAACGCCAGCTTGTCAGGGTGGCCAACACAAACGATCAGATCGCATTGTCTCAGATTGGTTCGCACTGCCAGCAGAAAGCAAATATCTTGTTTCCCAACTGCCTCAGGTCTACACCAAGTACTACTGCACTTAAAACCAAACAGCCTTAATAAAAAAAAATGTAACAACAAGGACTCTGTATTTTCTCCTGTTGTTTCAAACTGTGCTCGCATTTCACTGAGAATGATAGTAAGTTATTTTTCTGTATCCCGATTTCATAATACAAACAAATCCACACTGGAAAAGTGACAAACTTACATAAAGATGTCAGCACGTATACTGATTTTGGCACATTTGAGAGTGGTTTTGATAGACACTATTGTCCTAAAATGCTCTACACAACAAGCAGGAAACATTACAACAATTTGGGGAAAAGGGTTCTTGGAAAAACACATTTGAGCATGAGTCTTGGTCACAATGTTTTAAGTTTGCTAACTTGAAAGTAGCACCCTCTTTTAAAACTCAGTCACATTGACAAGGGCACATTTTGTTTGACTTTTGGTTCATACAAAATGGTGAAGTATGTTTGTAGTTGTACTTTTGCGTGCCACAACACTGCTATTTTAAGACGAGACATAGAATGAGGTGTTACTGTGTCACAAATCATTCCATCTACAAAGTTTAGATGTATAAAAAAGCTCAAATGTCCGTTTCCAGGCTTTGAGCCGTTTAACTGAGTAAATAGTTATAATCGAAGGAGACAAGTAAGTAGAATACTCCGACTGCCTCTTTGCCCACAACTGTCCCCTCTGGCAAAAAAACGTAGTTGCAACATCATGTCTGACATCAGATGGCCTGATGGACAAACATGTGTGAAATCCTTCAGTTACTCCTATCTATCCATCAGCAGAGCACAATCTGACAGACATCACGTAGCATCATGCAACTCTGGACAGCTGTCATCTACAAGCAAGGCTAAGCTGGTGTATAATAATCCAATTTTAGCTATCCCATTTCAGATCTAAGAAAGCAGTTTCATCATGCGCTTTGCATAATTGCAAATCAATCAAGAAGCACCTTGCTGGCATAAATGATGCTTTTTGACATTTTGGAGGTGTACAATGAGAAGACAGAGAAACATACCTGCCAGTTGATCCATGCAGTTAGACAACGAGTCCAGCTCTCTCAGTATGTTTTCCAGAGTAATGCCAGCAGTGGAAGTAGCTTGTTGTGCACCTTTCCCTGTGTTGTCCATCTGAAAAATGATAACATACAACAAAACATTATTATATGCTATACACAAACTGTAATCTGTAATGCTGTCATTATATTACAACTAAAAAAAAACAAAGAGGTTAGATGCAACACACGTAAGTCTGTTTTTTCTATTTAAAAAGAAAAACAGAACACATTCTTATTTCAATTCATTTATTCAATTCAACAGGCTAAAGACAGCAAAACACTTCCATACCTAAAAAAACAACAACTGCAGGACATGCAAACACCAAGTGATACCCATCACTAATCATTAAAACACCCTGTTTTACTGCAAAGACTAAAACAAAAGCAAGTGAGCAAAAACAGTGCTGCAGCAACTGCAAAATTAACTTGAACACAGTGCAGCCACAGCCTAATTTAACACCTCTTAATCTACAGTTGTGAACGGAAAACTTTGATAATGAACATCACATTTGAGCAGGTGCAGTGGCAGCAGACTCAGGACGTTTTGTCTGGCTCTGGCTCTGGCTCCGGCTCTGGCTCCTCGTCTGGGTCTCCCCAGACGGCAGCTGTGCATCTTTGATAAGCTTCTTCCAGTTTCAGCATAGCGTCCGCTAGCTCGGGGCTGGTCTGCAGCGCTACCATGTCATAAGCCATCCAGGTGAGCTGCACTACAGGTGGACAGAAAAGAGGAGGATGGCAGTGCTCTTTTCAAATACTTCTGTTCGTAACCACACTCCGAACCCAAAGTTGTCTGTACTCATTTGTTGTGACGTGACATGAAGCACGTTTCACATCGAGCCACATTAAAACAAGACAAAATTTCATACCTGACGTATTTTCAGCGTCTTCAATCATTCTCTCCAAATCCTTATTCAGTTCCAACAAGTCGTCGTCGTCGTCGTTGCTGTTCCGTGGAAGCTCGTGAAGCGAAGATGAATCGGCCATCTAAAATCTTTTACCACCTGCTAACGCTAACAAGCCTCCTTGACGTTAGCTTGTCATGACAACACAGATAACCGTTAGTTAGCTTGCGACGCTATTAGCACGGTCATCCTGTAAAAGTTAGCAAACGTAGCCTCGTCTAAAATGAATATTGTGATTCGTTAGTAATATGTCAAGAGGTAAAACTGCATTTACAGTTACTAACTGGACTTTAAGTCGACGCAATGTGTGGTTAAGAGGTTTTTTTTTCACCTTTAAAAACGTTTAAAAAACTTAGGACATGAACGTACCTTCAGAACGCTGTTCTGACGCTCTGGCAATTTACCAAGTTCTCGCGTAGTTTGAGAAAGAAAATAAACGTGAACGCGAAAAAGTTGGACAAAACTTCGAGAACTTCTCAGAGTAAGTTTATCACTGTTATTCCATAGATCTATTTTGGCATCATAAAATGTTATTATATGTAGGTAGGACTGTGTATATAAAAAATTTAAACAATATTTAAATTGTAACTTTGACCAGTTTGGACAACATGTAAAAGTGGGGAAGAGGATTAGCTTACATAGCCTTTATGAAAATTAAATAGTTTCAGTCCCCTACAGTTACAAGGGCTAAATTTTAATTTGCCAGTATCACTATTTTAAGCCATGTTCTGCAATATTGCTGCCACTTTTCTTACCTGTTTTTTAAGGACTACCACTGGTATTGTGTTGTTTTAGCAGAATTTTCAGATAAAAAGGGGGTGAAAAAGACTGAAGTGTAATATCAAATGTTAATTATATCCAAAACAAATCAGAAAACAGCACCAATGTGTCCACAAATTGTCTCTTCTGTTACTGTAGAGGATTGTTTGTTTTCATTATTACATATATGTTCATTAAAGCAGAAGAAGCGTGCAGGTGTCAAACATAATTTTTGAATCTAAATAGTCCAAACAAATGTATATATACATATATTTTTTTCCAGTCTGTTTAACTTTGTTTTCATAATTGCCATTACAAAATCACATGTGACTCAACTCAATCAATGCTGGACTCACAGCTTGAGTGGAAAATTATTTAATTGACAGAAGAAAACACCCTGGAGGGACTAAACTAGCTGACAGCAGGAGAAAAAAAAAAGAAAGCAGGAACAGACTACTCACCTGAGAAAACAACCAATCACACGAGACTGTGGGCGTTTCCAGGGGGAAAGATAAAGCAGGTATGACAGGTGACATCTTGACATTTTGCAAGGGCAAACAGACAAGAAAAGAGTGGAGAAGAGTACAATTAGAAACTTAGAAACAATCAGTTGGTTGAGCTCCCATTCAAACACCTGCACAGGAGGGAACAAGACAGAAGACTTCAGGGAGCCAACAAAACCTCTTTGAGAAGACTTTGACCCAGAGACGAAGGACATCCAAAGGCAAAGGGTCAAGAAGCGGCTGAGAGGTGAGAAGAAACTAGAGGATGTCTTCATTTGAGGCCCAGGGTCAGTCTCCTCCTCGGTGTGGCCCACAGTTTCCCAGCCTCGGCCAGGAGCCCCCAGAACTCAGCATGTACGGTGACTGTTACTATCCTCCTCCCTCGCTGCCGAGTCCTCAGCGCACCACTCCAACCTCCTACGACCTGAGCGACTACACCACCTCCTCCCCAAACCCTTACCTCTGGTTTAACGGCTCTGGGATCAACACGCCGCCGTACCTGGCCACCACCGGCCCGCCTGGTAATCCCGGCCCGCCCTTTGTCCCTCAGCACTACGGCATGCAGAGGCCTTACCTGGGTCCAGCTGGAGCCGGGGGTCCAGGAGGGGAACTGAGCTGGTTCTCTCTGCCCTCCCAAGAAGACCTGATGAAGCTGGTCAGGCCCCCTTACTCCTACTCGGCTCTCATCGCCATGGCCATCCACGGAGCACCGGACAGGAGGCTGACATTGAGCCAAATTTACCAGTACGTCGCTGATAATTTCCCTTTCTACAACAAGAGCAAAGCTGGCTGGCAGAATTCCATCAGACACAACCTGTCACTTAATGACTGCTTCAAAAAAGTACCAAGAGATGAGGATGATCCAGGTAAAAAACATTTTCATCATTTTTGTGTTTAAGGCTTTAAATGTTCTTCTCTTATGTGAGTAGTTAAATAACCTGACACATTTTCAAATCTCTCTGATATCACAGGTAAGGGCAACTACTGGACTCTTGATCCAAACTGTGAAAAAATGTTTGACAACGGAAACTTCCGTCGCAAAAGGAAGAGGAAGTCCGATTCCCTCTCCAGTGGCGATGGCGGTTCAGGGGCACCAGAGTCAGGTGACAGCGAGAGGGGCAGCCCCAAACACTCGGGCAACTCTGCCCTGAACATCTCCCCCACACCGGACCGGATTCCCTCCCCGTCGTTGTCAGGTCCCGCTCCGTGCCTGAGCAGCTTCTTGTCCGAGATGTCTGGAGTGTCTGCAGGAGGATCGAATGAAGTGGGAGGCGATGGGTTGAGCAGGCCGCTGCAGATCAACCTTAATTTAGATGGGCCTCATAGATCCACGCAGCCAGGAAGCTTTAGCAGCTACTCCCCCAACTCCGGTGGCCCGGAGTGGGTACCGCAAGTGCCACCTCCCCCTGGGCTCTCCTCCTCACCCACCCACTCCTCCTTAGGTTACACCAGCCCCATCCTCAGCCAGTACAGCGGCTCCAGCGGGCATTTCTACCCCACGCTGGGCTCGACAGGGATCATCTATCATCGCGAGGGCACAGAGGTTTAATAAGACATTAAAGGAGGGAAAGTTGTGTTTGAAAAGACTCTTGACAGGGAATTTCACCTGTCTGTGGTTTAAGAGATATTCTGTTATGACACACACACACACACAAAAGGCAGGCATGTTTGCGCTGACTGAGACAGTTGCGATCACCATAGCGTGTGACAGCAGAGTAGAAAAGCTTTGATTCCCACAGGAACAGCTGAGTCAGCTGCAGCCGACTACGTTTGCCATTCCATGAAACCGTAGTCAGCCTCGCTATCAGATCCTCAGTCAGCTTTTATTCAAACTAAAGGTAGTCCCTATCAGATCTGACTCATTATTAACCGATCCTAGATCTGATGTGCTGACATCAGGCCATTCCACACCGCTATCTGTGATTCTTTGATGGTATCACAACGCTTACAACGCTCAGACAGCACATTTAGAGGAGTAGTTAAATTACACCGTTGTCTACAAAGCGTGTGTTGTCACTGCTGTAAAAGATCAAGAGCAAGTATAAAGTATGGACTTTCTGTTTTTGTTTGTTTGTTTTTTAACAATCTGATTAATTTACAGTCTTGAAGTGTGATATACATTTGCTAATTGTACTTTGTAAATATGTTCATGTGTTGTGTAATGTTATACATGTCGATTGTTGGTTTCTCGGTTCAACTTTTATTGTACAAAATGGATTCGTAATGTACGGCATATGCTACGTGTTGTGTTTTTGATATGAATAAAAGGTTTTAGAGTTACACTTGCATACGGCGTATTATTTTCATAAAGATGAATGAATGGTAGACCCCCTAAACTCGAACAAAACACCAAGATCAACAAGAGCAAGACAATAAGCACCTACTGACAGAAAACAGTCCTGTCAGAAAAGCGATGACCAGCAGTGTGGAACCTGCATGTCTGCGTAACCTGATCTTTGTGTGATGGATAGTTAACTGATTCTCCTAAACGGTGAAAATCCACATTCCCATGCTGTCCCTCTTCTCTACGCTAAACACCGAAATCCCTCCCTGCGACACACACCGTCCGACACGCAGATACTGCTGACTGGATGTAAGCACTTTTATTAGGGCAAAGGGGAGCAACTGTAAAAAGGCAAGAAAAGGTGCTGATGGTGTGAAATAACCGCTGAATGAAAAAAGTCACAGTTAACAACGTGTTCATTCATAACTGCTGGGTGACTTTTACTACTGTGAAGTTTTTTTTCAAATTCACACCGGTAATAATTTTGAACTGGCTATATTAGGCAGAGTTAATTTTATTGTCAGTTACAGAGAAACAGGTTTTTGTTGTACGGGGAACAGCATAGTTTGCTTTTTTTCTGTGACTGCCATTCATACAGAATTACTTTAGAAAGGGAACAGCATAGACACTAGGATGTGGTATGAATAGAAGAAAAAATCTAGGGTAATATGAAAAATTATTTGATTTAACAATAAAACTTATATAGATCACAAAGCTGCAGTAAAATCAAACGCGCAACTTTAATGTGTATTTGTAAAGCCAGATATCTGAGAAATTGGTAATATGCAGCTTTCTGTTATACATCTTGAAACTGCACTTGTAATCCCCATAGTGATATAATATCCACACCTGAACTGCATCACTGTACAACTTCAACACAATCATCATCTAACCAAACTGTAACCGCTATTTTCTATTCTGTGTAAATAACACATATAGACTGTGAATAAAATAATTTGCAATTAAATCTACTTTGTTCAATGATTTATCCGCTCATATGCTATTTAAATAAATATAAACCCTTTGATCGATGTCACCCTGAGGCCTTTATTTACCCTGAAACACAGGCAGCATGACAGCCATTTACACTAAACACAAAAAAACCAGCAGAGGAGCGCATACGCTTCAACCCCATATCAAGTGGAATTTAACATCCTGGCACAAATAACAAAGTGTATTAGTGGCAAGAGGTCAGCCTGTCAGAATTTGCATAACTGATTTAAAACAAGATGATGTGGCTGCATTTAGATGGATCATAAAGTCATGCTTTATTAGTTGTGTCAGACTTGCGAGCATATCTGATTTAACTGTGTGAAGCGTCCTGTCTCACGCTGTGCCTTAAAGTACATAACCCACCCAGGGGGTCATTCATATGCAAATATAATACCTTTTCCTGTAGATATCGAGCTTTCAGAGTGCATGAGAAGATTGTAAAGAAGGCAGAATGAAAAATGAGGGAGATAAGTAGAGAGAAAAGGGGGATAGAGGAGGCAAAGTACAGTAAATATCAAAAATAACGCTGTCCCAACATGTTGCACTGCCACTCCAAATCGTCTTGGCACTTTGAGTAGTTTACGCAGCCAATTAGCTTGGTGTTTTTTCTCCGTATCTTGTTCAGACTTTGCGCTGGCAGGTGAGAGACTTATCATCAGAAATAGAGGAGGCCTCCTGTCTGGCCGATCCAGCGTGAGCTCCCCTTCAGTGTATCTGCCAACAGAAACACTATAGGGCTTTTGTCTCCGAGACTTCATTAACAGCAGACATCTACCTTCTGCTGTCTTATTCAGACAGTTTCAAACCGATGCAAATTTGTAACTGTTAATCACACCGTGGATGGGGATGACAAGTTCAGCGAGAGAATGTGGCGTTCTAGATGGAGCTTCCCTGATAAGAAACGGTAAAACCTGAGGGATTTACCTCACAGACTACCTGACACCAGAGTCAATGTGCTTTTACCGAAACTCATAACACAATATCTTCTCGGAACTTCCCTCGACTGTTTGTCTGTTTCACGATTGGTACTGAATATTTTCTTTATGTGGACAGTTACCTTAATTTGCAGATTACACACTTGACATAACATCCAATTATTGTGCTTTTTTTTCCTTCTGGCATTTTTTTTTTCTTCACACTACAGGGCTGAACTTTAGCTTGTGTAAAACATGCAGCAGCAGCTGCTCCGTCTTCCCCACAGTGCAAACATTTTGAAAAAGATGATTATGATGCAAAATTAAGCTGACAGGGAATTCTAGTGAAATGTAATCTATCGTGGGACACGCTAGCTTCTGAATGATTCAGGGATGCCCGGCACAACATCCATCAATCATATGCTACTGTAGCGATGGACCTTCCTTGCCTCAGGCACTAAAATTATTGCTCAACTGAGTGACACAATTAAAATCTATAAATCCTCATCTCCACCTGCTGCCTGGCTCGTGGCAGTCCACACACCTGTCGAACTAACGGAACGCACCCACACACCAGTGATGTGTATGCCTGTGTGTGTGTGTGTGCATTTGTGCAGTGCAAGGCATACAAGTGTGTCGTGTTTATAATGTAAACTCAGACAGAGAGCGATTATACCAGAGCTGTTATGCATGACAGATTTGTGTGTGAAGGAACTGTCCTGATTATAGATATGTAAAGAGAAAAAAGAAAAAAAAAATCACACCTCACTGTTTCGTGGAAGAAGTCTGGCAAGTTTATTCCTTCAAAAGCGAAGGGATGCACTTTCTTTCACATTTGCCTAACTGCTACCTGAAGTTAATTCTACCTGGTACCAAGTCAACTGACAACGCACACAAGGGCACACACACACACACACACACACACACACACGTCTTTTCTATTTACTAAAACAGTCATGTCCTATCAAGGCTGTTTAGTAAACGGAGGCAGGGAACGTGAAGCCTGGAGACATGTCGTCATGCCCACTGCCACAGCTCTGCATTAGCAGCTCGCTGTTATGTGTAAACATGCACACACACTCCAGACACACGCATACAGGTGATGAAAGGAGCAAAGTCGGTCTCCACTGGTCTGGAAGTTACTGAGCAACCTTTAAGTTTTTTTTTTTTAATGCTCTTTAGAGGTCAGTGGAAAAATACTACAGTTAGTGCAATTTCTTAGATCGCAGCATCCGAGTGCTGCTGGCAGAAGCGCGACACACATTAGAATAGTTCCAGTTTCCATTATTGATGATTAAACAGTCTGATGCTACTGATCCCAATAAAACTGCTTAAAAATCTATTTCTTTACAACGCCTGAATACCCAGACGCTGTACAGGTTGCATCTCCATCATCCAATAGCCTTAGTCCATAGGATAAGTCCCACTTTGCTCAAATTCCATATTTTTCCAGAAGAAGAAAGAAAGAAAAACAAATGTATCTGCTCCTTCCCTGTAAAATAGTGCATCCCAGTGTCTCACAGTCCAGAGAAAAAGGCAGTGAGTGATCCCCCCTTCCTCAACATGGTTTATATACACGATTTAGGGAAAAGACAAGTTTGAAGACAAACACTGAACGCAGTGAGACTGTGTGTATATATGAATCATTGCTATTTCACCCTAAAATATTTTCCATGTCAACATTCAGTAAACATGGCGATATGAACAGGGCTGTGCAGCGAGGGAGGGAGAGGAAGGAAGATGAGGGGGGAATAAAGTGTATATATATCTCACATGTGCTGAGCTGAATCTAAGAATCTTACAGTTATGTAGCCCTTGTACCCTTTATGTTGTTTCTCTTTCTTTTTTTTTTTTTTGAAACACTGAACATTTTACTTTGTCACAGTTTAACTAATAGGATGGGATAATTACATTAGATAGTCATCATTCTCAGTACAAGTCTTTAGACATACAGTTTACAGTCTTTTTAATTAATGATTATCACATGGCTTGGCAGTGTTGGTCTGTCAGACAGTCAGTCCAACCTTTTTGGCCCAAACTGAATTATCTCAACAACTACTGCATTGAAATTTGTGACCATGCTCCCAGAGGCAGACTGACTTCGACGATCCTCTTATTTTATCATCATTAATTAGAGATATGTTGACAACACTGTAAACTGGGTGCTCTTATGCAACACCCTTTTAAAACTTTAGATCGGTTTTGCAAAGTGGTTTCTAATATGTTTCTCATTCCCCTATTTATAGACACAGTCACACACTAATGGCGGCAGAGCTGCCATGCAAGGAGCTCGCCTATCAGCGGAAGCAATTAGCAGACAACCTGCTCCAGCACCTGAGCCACAGTCGTGCTATGTTATCAGTGCATCATGAATTGTGAACACATATCCAGAGGCTGCCCAGAGATTGAATCCTCATGACGACATTAATCTCCTGATTTTTTTCATGTGGTGTCACTGGCTCATCAAAACCTATCCCATTTCACATGAGTCCAAGGTCATACCAAGAACGCTATGACGTTCATGTGGAGGAGAGTCAAGACGATGAACGATTAGCAAGGACTAAAGCAAAAGTGCACGGCGTATTTAGGCACTTCACTTCCTGCTTCTCCCCAACTGCACCTGGCAAAGAGGAAATGTGAAATACCAGGTGCCATTGTTTACTGTTCTCTGGGAGTTCTAGCTAATTTTATTCTTTCTGGAGAAAGATATAACATCACTTTCTAAGTTAAAAGTTAAAAGGCTTCTAGATGCCAGCTGAGTCACATGGGCCTTTAGCTTAGCATGCACGGTGAAGACGTATCTGTTTAGTAGGCAGATGATGGACTCCACGTGGCCCAAGAGAGACACATTTATTTCTATCAATCACTTTTAAAGCTGAACCAGACAGCATGTGTAAGATACAAACTGTTTTCATTTAGATGATACAAGAAAATCCACACCACAAGAAAAAATGAACCTCAGGAATAAACAAACAAGCATGGCTCAGTTTACAGTCTGCAAATGTGACAATTCAGATATGAATCTCCTTGTGGTTTTGTCATTACAAAAAAAAATAACACGTCATCATTACATGCTAATACAAAACTAT